AAGGGGTGGAGGAGTTGCATTACTGGCCAAAGAGGATATCACAGCTGTGCTGAAGGAGGGCACTATGGAGGACTCGAGCAGTGAGGCAATATGGGCAGAGCTCAGAAATAGGAAGGGTGCGGTAACAATGTTGGGGCTGTACTACAGGCCTCAACAGCGAGCGTGAGATAGAGGCATAAATATGTAGACAGATTATGGAAAGATGTAGGAGCAACAGGGTGGTGGTGATGGGAGATTTTAACTTTCCCAACATTGACTGGGATTCACGCAGTGTTAGGGGTTTAGATGGAGCAGAATTTGTAAGGAGCATCCAGGAAGGTTTTATAGAGCAGTATGTAAATAGTCCAACTCGGGAAGGGGCCACACTGGACCTGGAGATGGGGAATGAGCCCGGCCAGGTGGTTGAAGTTTCAGTAGGGGATTACTTTGGGAATACTGATCACAATTCTGTAAGTTTTAGAATACTCATGGACAAAGATGAGAGTGGTCCTAAAGGAAGAGTGCTAAATTGGGGAAAGGCCAACTATAGCAAAATTCAGCAGGAGCTGGGGAATGTGGATTGGGAGCAGCTGTTTGAGGGTAAATCCACATTTGATATGTGGGAGGCTTTTAAAGAGAGGTTGATTAGAGTGCAGGACAGACATGTCCCTGTGAAAATGAGGGATAGAAAGGGCAAGATTAGGGAACCATGGATGACAGGTGAAATTGTGAGACTAGGAAAGTGGAAAAAGGAAGCATACATAAGGTCTAGGGAACTGAAAACAGACGAAGCTTTGGAAGAATATCGGGAAAGTAGGACCAATCTGAAACGAGGAATTAAGAGGGCTAAAAGGAGTCATGAAATATCTTTAGCGAACAGGGTTAAGGAAAATCCCAAAGCCTTTTACTCATACATAAGGAGCAAGAGGGTAACTAGAGAAAGGGTTGGCCCACTCAAGGACAAAGGAGGGAAGTTATGAGAGGAGTCAGAGAAAATGAGTGAGATTCTTAATGAGTACTTTGCGTCGGTATTCAGTGAGGAGAGGGACATGACGGATTTTGAGGTTAGGGATAGCTGTGTTTGATTACTCTAGGTCAAGTCGGCATAAGGAGGGGGGAAGTGTTGGGTATTCTAAAAGGCATTAGGGTGGACAAGTCCCCAGGTCCGGATGCGATCTATCTCAGGTTACTGAGGGAAGCGAGAGAGGAAATAGCTGGGGCCTTAACAGATATCTTTGCAGCATCCTTGAGCACAGGTGAGGTCCCGGAGGACTGGAGAATTGCTAATGTTGTCCCCTTGTTTAAGAAGGGTAGCAAGGATAATCCAGGTATTTATAGACCGGTGAGCCTGACGTCAGTGGTGGGGAAGCTGCTGGAGAAGATACTGAGGGATAGGATCTATTTACATTTGGATGAAAATGGGCTTATTCGTGATAGGCACCTTGGTTTTGTGCAGGGAAGGTCATGTCTTACCAACTTGATAGAATTCTTTGAGGAAGTGACAAAGTTGATAGATGAGGGAAGGCCTGTAGATGTCATATACATGGACTTCAGTAAGGCGTTTGATAAGGTTCCCCATGGTAGGCTGATGGAGAAAGTGAAGTCGCATGGGGTCCAGGGTGTACTAGCTAGATGGATAGAGAACTGGCTGGGCAACAGGAGACAGAGAGTTGTAGTGGAAGGGAGTTTCTCAAAATGGAGAACAGTGACCAGTGGTGTTCCACAGGGATCCGTGTTGGGACCACTGTTGTTTGTGATATACATAAATGATCTGGAGGAAGGTATAGACGGTCTGATTAGCAAGTTTGCAGATGACACTAAGATTGGTGGAGTAGCAGAAAGTGAAGGGGACTGTCGGAGAATGCAGCAGAATATAGATAGATTGGAGAGTTGGGCGGAGAAATGGCAGATGGAGTTCAATCCAGGCAAATGCGAGGTGATGCATTTTGGAAGATCAATTCAAGAGCGAACTATGTGGTAAATGGAAAAGCCCTGGGGAAAATTGATGCACAGAGAGATCTCGGTGTTCAGATCCATTGTACCCTGAAGGTGGCAACGCAGGTGGATAGAGTGGTCAAGAAGGAATATGGCATGCTCTCATTCATCAGACGGGGTACTGAGTACAAGAGTTGGCAGGTCATGTTACAGTTGTGTAGGACTTTGGTTCGACCACATTTGGAATACTGCGTACAGTTCTGGTTGCCACATTACCAAAAGGATGTGGATGCTTTGGAGAGGGTGCAGAGGAGGTTCACCAGGATGTTGCCTGGTATGGAGGGCGATAGCTATAAAGAGAGGTTGAGTAGATTAGGATTATTTACATTAGAAAGACAGAGGTTGAGGGGGGACCTGATTGAGGTCTACAAAATCATGAGAGATATAGACAGGGTGGATAGCAAGAAGCTTTTTCCCAGAGTGGGGGACTCAATTACTAGGGGTCACGATTTCAAGGTGAGAGGGGAAAAGTTGAAGGCAGATATGCGTGGAAAGTTCTTTACGCAGAGGGTAGTGGGTGCCTGGAACACGTTGCCAGCGGAGGTGGTAGAGGCAGGCACGATAGTGTCATTTAAGATGTATCTAGACAGATACATGAATGGACAGGGAGCAGAGGGGTAAAGATCCTTGGATTATAAGCGACAGGTTTAGATAGAGGATCTGGATCGGCGCAGACTTGGAGGGCCGAAGGGACTGTTCCTGTGCTGTAATTTTCTTTGTTCTTTGTTCTTTGTTCTTTTTTCTTTGTTCTTCCCTAAAGGACATTAGTGAACCAGACCATAGCTTCACAACATGATTACTGAGATTGGATATCAGTTCCAGATTTTATTAACTGAACCCTACCCCGCCCTAATCCACTTCCAACCTCTGTCACCTCCTCCAGCCCCTACAGCCCCTCCCTATCTCTGTCACCTCCTCCAGCCCCTACACCCCTCCCTATCTCTGTAACCTCCTCCAGCCCCTACGCCCTTCCCTATCTCTGTCACCTCCTCCAGGCCTGCACCCCCTCCCTATCTCTGTCACCTCCTCCAGCCCCTACATTCCCTCCCTATCTCTGTCACCTCCTCCAGCCCCTACACCCCCTCCCTATTTCTGCAACCTCCTCCAGCCCCTATACTGTCTCCCTATCTCTGGAATCTCCTGCAACCCCACACCCTTCCTGTTCTTGTTAGAACTTTATAAAACATTTGTTAGACAACAGCTAGAGTACTGATTCATTTTGGAAGGTGGACTTTGAATGCAGAATACAGGGTTAATGGCAGGATTCTTGTGGAGTAACAGAGGGATCTTGGGGCCCACGTCCATAGATCCCTCAAAGTTGCTACCTGAGTTGATAGGGTTGTAAAGAAGGCATATGGTGTGTTGGCTTTCATTGGCAGGGGAATTGAGTTTAAGAGCCACGAGGTTATGCTGCAGCTCTATAAAACTCTGGTTAGAACACACTTGGAATATTGTGTTCAGTTCTGGTATCTCATTATAGGAAGGATGTGGAAACTTTAGAGGGGGTGCAGAGGAGATTTACCAGGATGCTGCCTGGACTGGAGGGCAGGTCATATGAGGAAAGATTGAGGGAGCTAGGGCTTTTGTCATTGGAGCAAAGAAGGATGAGAGGTGACTTGAATCAGTACAAGATGATGAGAGGCATAGATAGAGTGGATAGCCAGAGACTTTTTCCCAGGGCAGAAATGACTATTACGAGGGGGCATAATTTTAAGGTGATTGGAGGACGGTATAGGGGAGATGTCAGAGGTAGGTTCTTCACACAGAGAGTGGTGGGTGTGTGGAATGTGCTGCCAGCAGTGGTAGTGGAGTCAGATACTTTAGAAACTTTTAAGCAACTCTTGGATAGGTACATGGAGGATAGTAAAATGTAGGGTATGCAGGGTAGTTTGATCTTAGTAGGATAATAGGTCAGCACAGACATGATGGGCCAAAGGGCCTGTATCACTGCTGTATGACTCTGTGACTATCTCTGTAAAGTCATCCAGCCCAGGAACCCTTTTATATGCCTGTTACAGAATGCTAACCTTCACATTTTCAATCATGTTCTCCTGACAGGTCTCGGCCACAGATGCTGACAGTGGAAGCTTTGGTGCCATCACTTATTCCATCGGCTCTGGCATTGGCAGCTTGCCTCCTGTTCTGTTCAGTATTGACCAATACACTGGCAGAATTTGCACCACAAGCCAACTGGATCGAGATGAGGGACCCAATCATTATGAATTCACAGTGACAGCAATTGATGGGGTAAGAAATATATTCAGATAACCAGAACCATAGACACACGGGGAGTTTTACTTTGTATCTAACAGCATGCTGTTCAAGATAGAAAGTGAAGGCGCTGAACTCTTGAAGCCCTGTCAAGTAATTTTCCACAAGTGTGGCGTGTACAGAACCTCCTGGGAAAACATTTGGTACTTCAGAGCGTCTTAAGATTTGATGTGTTCGGTGTTTTAGCAGGTGATAAATCTCCAGGGCCTGATGAGATGTATCTCTGGCAGCTATGGGATTCCAGGGAGGAGATTGTTGGGGCCCCGGTGGAGATATTTACTACTTCACTGGCCCCAGGTGAAGTGCTAGATGACTGGAGGATGGCTAATGTAGTTCCTTTGTTCATGAAGGGCAGTAGGGATATGCCAGGTAATTACAGACCAGTTAGTTTAATGTCATTGGTACGAAAATTTGAAAGTAAGGGTTGATCAGGGATAGTCAACATAGATTTGTTAGAGAGAGATCATATCTGACTCACTTAATTGAGTTTTTGAAAACGTGGCTGAACATATTGCTGAGGGTAGTGCTTTTGTTGTGGTTTATATTGACTTCAGTATGGCCTTTGACAATGTAAATGACAGAACTGATCTCTGTGTTCTCTATGGCTCAGGAGAGGTGCGGAACATCAGTGTGTTATCGTAGCTGTCAGATACTGTGATGTTGACCTTCATATTGCTGTAGGCAGGAGAGGAATCTACTGCTCGTCTGAACACCCAGAATCCACACTGCCCTCCTCACCGTTTACAATTCCTCTATGTTTAGTGTCATCCACAAACTTTGAAATTGTCCACTGCACAGCAAGATCCAGATCATTAATATATATCAGAAAAAGTGTTCTAACACCGACCCACTGCAAACCTTCCTCCAGTCTGAAAAATACCCATTGATCATTACTCTCTGTTTCCCGCACTCAGTTTTGTATCCACATTGCTACTGTACCTGTATGCCATGACCTGTAGCTTTCTTTGCCAGTCTATTGTGTGGCACTGTCTCAAACACCTGCTGGAAATTCCATGTAATCCACATCAACAGTGTTTCCCTCATCGAGCCTTTCTGTTACCCCTTCAACAAACTCCAGAAAGTTAGCTAAAGTTCTGTGTCATCTACTTTGCAAACAGGATGAAACATTGAACAGGGTGTGAGTCAGTGTGACAAACCACATTTAGGACACATCTTGCTAGTTTGGTAAACTTTGCTGACTAGCAACAGCGTTGACTGCACCCAAAGCAGATGATTGATGTGAGTCTTTGACTGGTGTCCATCGCTGTCAAGGTGTCACTGGTACAGCCTTTCTCTTGCCCGGAAGACACCTCTTGAAGACTTTAGTCAGTAAATAGGTGAACATAGAACATAGAACATAGAACAGTACAGCACAGTACAGGCCCTTCAGCCCACGATGTTGTGCCGAACTTTTACCCGAAACCTAAGGTCTATCTAACCTCCACTGCTACCTTATACTATCATCGAAAGCTAGTTAAATGAGCCTGTCTGTGAGGTCTTCAGGAAAATCTTACTCATATCCTTTCCTGTAGCATCTCATGACAAAGTTGCCAATAGACTCTCAAAGTTTTTGTCTATACGACATGAGTCGAAGTATGATAATCCAGAAGTTTATTTGTGTCTTGAGTTGGTCCTTAAATATTCTCCTGCCCTTCTCCGAATCTTTGTCATCATTCTCAGAAAGACTGGATATATTTATTCTTTGAATCCCTTCTTTCCTATTAGTAAGTAAAAGTTTCAGAAATCTCTTCTCAGAAATCGTTGATGAAATAAACCTGCATATGTTGCTTAAATCAATACAATTCAGTAAAGATGTCACTTGGGGGCCAATCCATTATTAAACGTTTGTCTTTTTGTTGAAGGTCTGTGGGTTTTTTTATTGAAGGTGTGTGCAGAGCTTGTTTGTTCTTGTCTTTTGCTTAGTTTGCTGTTCTATCCTTTCATTTCTCCTCTTTTGTTTCTTTCTTATTTTATTTATCGCTGTTGTAGCTCCTTTTATGAGTGTTGCTGTGTTTGGTGTTGTCTGTTTCATAAATACAGGGAGTTCACAGCAGGTAAGGGCTGGTGATGTCATATCAGCTTTGATGCCTTATTGGAGCAATGAGAAGGAGAATTTCAGACAAAATGGCACCGATGTGAGCTCATTGTAGCTTAGCCTAATGTTTCGATTAGCTTTTCAATCAGTTCCAGTAGTTGTGGGCTCAGGGGCCTCAACGTATGAATGGCTCTTGGGCAGGTGGCTACAGCCTTGTGTGAGGACATTACAGCAGAAATATCAAGCCTGTGAAGAGAAAGCACCCATCTGTCTCCATCTGTCTCTCTCTCTTTCCCTCTTTCCCTGAGAAGTAACAAAAAGCCCCCAGTAGCTAGCCACCTTCCCTCTCCTTTCTCCATGAGTTTAGTGGAGAAACCACCTCAGAGCCACCAAAAAGGCAAACGCTTAAACAGTGAATGAGAGAGTAAGAATCAATATGTCATCAGCTTTGGATGGAATTGAAAGGACTCGAAAGAAAACAACTCATCAACATCTGTGATGCGGATTGGTGCCGTAACTGTGTTTCTATGTCTTTTACCCCAATCCCTAAAGCTTATGTCTTGTCCCTGTGTCTCTTTATATCTGTAGGGGAATTTTAAAAAGGAGTAGAGTTTAAATTACAGAGTTTAATTCATGTTTATTTTTTACCATTAGTTAAAAGTAGTTTGATTTCAATAAATAGTTATTTTTTTGTGAATGTTAAATCTGGTGGCTTTCCTTTGAACCTGAATTATTCAGTCAGGTAGAATTGGACGGTTTGGTGGTTTAATAAGATTTTCATATTTATAATGTCCCTGGGAATAGTAAGGCTTGATTTGCAGCACATTAGCCAGTGAGTTGTGACACCTGGAAGAGATCTTTTATCTGATGTTTATTTATGGTTACTGTCAGGAAACAAGCTGAAACTTCATTTTGGATTTTTCATCGCAGCAGCACATGGCTTGTTACTGTCAGTCACCAAATGTTTTGAGATCCAGGGCAGTGTAATCTTCAGTGGGGTTTCCAAAATTCTGCAAATGGGACCTTGGAGTCATTTATAAGCAGGTCCCTGCTGCTTAGCAATGTACTGGTTACCCAGAACAGTTCTGTCCCCTTGACCTTTTGTAGCTGCAGTAATGAGCTATTTACCTTCAGTGGGCTATGCCTTCTTGATGAGGAGTTTATATGTTCACTCCTACAACATAAGAATGAGTGACATTGTACTGAAAGATTCAATAGACTTTTAGACAGTTCCTTGTATCTACTTATTGCAATCAGAGGGTCATGTGAGCCAGGGCTGAGCTATTTGGATACAAACTGGAGCACACGCCTGTCAGTGTGTCATGCTGCAAGAGGACTCAGTAAGATGGAGAGTGAGAACTTTATACCCTCAGAACACATGTACCATCATGGCACCCAACACTGTGGGCACGTCACACACTAGGAATGACACACCAGTGGGCAGAGGAATTTCTGTGAGGAAAAGTTTCAGGGCTTGTGATAAATCCACTATTAAATTCTCACTCTATGTCTCTACCTCTCCCCAGGGTGGCCTGAAGTCAATGGCCTATGTGAAAGTTTACGTGGATGATATCAATGACAACAGGCCAGTGTTCTATCCAGTCCAGTATGCAGCCAGCCTCAGCACACAGAGTTTACCAGGCACTGCTGTGCTCAGGGTATCTGCTTTTGACAAGGATGTTGGACGGAACGGAAAAGTGACCTATCGGATTGTGTCAGGAAACCTGCTGTCATTATTCACACTGAACAGGGACACAGGTGAGTGCCTTTGTGCCAACCCCTTGTGACCAAACACAGAAAGAGTCTATTTGATCCAACATGAGCCAGCTCTACCCCCAGGTCCCTGGCCACTACCTTCAAGCCAACACGAGGCTGTGACCTCCCCAGGCCCAGTAGAGGAGGACAGCTCAGACAGTGGACCAGACAACACTAGCTGTTAGCTCCCTGACTGAGCTAACTCAGTGTCCTTGTCCTTGTTCCAACACTCAGTGAGAATCTCTCCCTGAAACATTGCTGCTGTGTGTCATCATGTCCGTTTGCTTTTGTTGGGACGTTTCCTGCCCTCTGGGAACTTCCTGTTTAACATTTGGCCTTCACCGAGCAGCTGTAAGAAGCTGATTGTTCTCTTCAGACTGTGTTCACTCAGCTCCCCTATTCGCTCCTCTGCCCCCCCCCCCCCGCAAATCTCCC